GTTGCGATCATTTGGTGGCCTTTTGAAGGACCGCTCCGATCATGTCTCAAACAATACAGGCCACATGTGATCCATTAGCATGAGTGAACCACACGCACTATGAATAATCTTCATTTTTAACTTCACCAGTCAGTATTTACATCCTGGAAGCATGTCTCGCCAAGAATTGTACAAGAAATATCAGTTTACTTGCAGAAATTTAGGCAACCAACAATACTTACAGGACATATCAGAGTACGACGATAAGTGAAGTGACAAGCCAGAGAATATGGGTGCAGACTCGTTAAGTGCAGCGTCCGAGTTCGACGCTGAATTCGAGGAGGGCGGCGGCAACAAGGCGGAGCTCTCAGATGATCACAACCCAGACATGGAAGAAGGCCCCGAGCCAAGTTCTCACAAGCACAAGAGAGCATGACCACATCTGTATTTATGCCACGGTATATATAGAGCGTTGCTACTATATGCCAATAAACTTGCTCTGCAAAGCATAAACTCCTGCACCCATCTTCAATACATGAGGTGCATGATTGTACAAACTGTGCGGAAATAATCACAATTCTTGGGCAGGTATCCAGCTGGACCTGTTGGGTGACTGTTGTGTGACCCATTGTCTGGTGACCAGATGAGCTACCAGATGGCAGCCAGACCTTATCAGCCGTCTGGCGGTTATACAACAGGGATGCTTCAGCCACCTGATTGCTCGGGTGGCTCATGGTTTAAGCACTGGTATGGACTCTACCTGGGCAAAAATTGGCGGTGTATCCGCGCAAAATAGTATAAAACTAGCCCCGTGCGAGTTGGGGAGGAAAGGCAGATCACGTGACTTAATTGATCCGATCAGGCGCTTGGCTGCGTAAGCCTCGCGCTCGTGCCTCCGACTCTCGTTGCCGCCGCTACTCCTGAGGTCCGCCGTAGTCAAGCAGGCTGTCTCCAAACACGACAAGCTCAAAAGCGTCAGCAGCACACCACGCCGCCCACCGTCCGCGCAGTCCCACATCCTCGCTCACTGCTTTGCACGCATGTTAACAACCAGCCTGCAGACCTCCAGCAGCCCATCACTCGAAATTCACCGCGTCGTCGAACTGCACTCCAGGCTGTGATGCGGCGTTTATGCGGCAGGTCGTGTTGCTCAGAGAGACGGTCGCGCGGTTCTGTGCGCTGCTAGAGTCATAGGAGGAGTCGAGGGCGCTGGGATCACATGTTCTCGATGTACTTGTGCCGATGTCCAGACCAACGTGGCTTGGTGAGTGCTACTCGTTCGCCACGACTATGCTGTTTCGACAGCGTTTTCTTGGATAGGTTTAGATACACAGTCAAATGGAGATAAGAAGCATCTACTGGAGGCAGGCTTCACCTTGTGAGCAAGTTTTGTGGATTGGGTGATCGAAGTGCGGAGTAGCAGACTTGTAAGGATCGACGGCAAGGACATTCCACGAGGTCGCACTTATTGGCACCCGGTTTAGCCGACATCAACGTTATTTTATCCCCCAAAGCCCGAATATGCTGTGCGACTCCCGCAAGACATGCGCGCAGCGCGGCGTGCTCAGAGGCCACCGTCGAACGGCTCCGTCATTATTTGGGGAATTACGCCAAAGCATAGCCACAGCGGCTCAAAGCTTCGAGCGACCAGAGGGACGGCTAGAAAGGACAGTCCTGGTAAGTAGTATTGGGCTTTGTGCATCTTCAATTGGTTTAATGGCAATACGGTACAGCTTACGGCGCCAGGATGCCTATGCCGACAGACCGACAGACACCCGTTGCCTACCAATAGATCTGCTACCTGCCAGATTGCCAGCGCAAAGCTAAACTCCAAGCGATGAGTCTGCATCAATGCGCCTCAGTCCAATGTACCCGCCGGATAGCCCTGCTGAATATAGCCGTGGTCTGCTGTGCGGCCTGTATCAGTAGTAGGCAAGCACCCAGCGAGCCAGCTACAAAGCGTCTCTGCTGTACGCCAATATTTATTATATCCATGCCACCACATATCCCAGCACGCTACTACGCGCGCGTGGTGCAAGTCGCTCTGCAAGTTCGTAGCGCCTACCACCCGAAATTTGCTCGAGGAGATAGTCGCACAGCTTCTCGTGTTGCTGGGGTTGCGGGAGCCCAGAGCTTCGAGATCTGGGTTCGACATAGCTGTATTGATATTTGGATGGAAATGGCTTGGTGAATACTGCTCGTACTCTGCAGACATGTCCCACTAATAGCGTTTTCAGGAGAAAGTCCAGAAGCGCACTCGAATAAGCGCAAAACAACATGGGCTGGAGGCGCATCTCATCTTACTGGCGGGGTTTCAAGATCAGATAGTTGGGATATGGAGGAAGAGATTTGCGGGAGTTGACGGCATGTGACCGCTCTTGAAGCGCGAATTACAGCATATCGCGCTTGTGGCCTCTCGACCCATCCAACATCAGCGCCATCGTGGAAGTACCGGGGCCTTCCCGCTCTCTTGTGCAATGTGGAGCGGCAGCAACGATTTGCCCAAGATACATGTGCAGCGTCAATGGCAGCGCACTATGCTATCATCCAATGGCTCCTCCCTCTATTGGAGCGGCAGACTGAAATATGGCTACAGCGGCTTGAGGGTCCAGGGCGCTAGAAGGGCAGTTAGATGGTATAGTACTGGTGGGTGGTATTAAACCTTGTGCATCTTCAACTGGTCTAATCACAAATTAAGCCTACAGAGCAAGGACGTCCGTTCCGATAGGCACGTTACATTAAAGTCTCACAGTCATAGTCTCATCCTTGAAATAATGGGTGGTTGTCATGCCAAATATCAAGTGGCTCACCCGGAATTTGGGTAACAGCACGCAGCGCAGCGCTCCGAAGCTCGCCAAAGGACTTGTGGAATCCGACGTCGGCGATGTGCTCGAGTGGCCCGAGGTGCTGCGCACAACGCATGACGATGCTACGGTGCGGCCTGTGGACTATTGCGCGGAAGTGGCGGCTTGCGAGACCGGACGCGTCGTGCCTAGGCTTGCTGTTGCTGTGGGTGGTGCGACGAGACACGCACGGCGCGGATTGCCGATTTACTGGGCCGCATCGGAGCCAGCCTGTAGGAGCTGACGGTCGGAAGGACGGCGGACTGGACGTGGGACGATTGCAGAGGTGAGTTCTCACGACGCCTTCTAAGGTGCTATGCTGACGACGATAACACAGTTTGCGGCAAGGTTGGGTTCCAGCGACGCAGCGTCGTCTTTTACATTTCAGAATCCAGACGTCGACCATCACGGTCGCGCTGGAATTACTAGAGGCCAGTCTTAAAAAGAAGTGCAAGGCAGATGTGTAATATCTCGAATGTCAGAGTATTCGTATGCTTCTGTATCTTGCCCTCCGAATCATGCAGTACTCTCGGCGCGTTCGCAGCAGATGCCTATATCGGGACTGGACGATCCATTCCTGCTGAGTTTACTGGTGACTGGTCTATCCCATGGCAGCCGCCCTGCAACCTGACTCTACTCCACCACACTATTGCTCGCCTCTCTTGCATACGCCGCGACGCTACTAACACCTCAGCTCCAACGCAAACGAGTTGCAAAGACTGGATGGGTTGCAGTAAGTCGCTGAGATTGAGATTTTCACTTGTTTGCTGAGCCATTGGGCGTAGGGGTGAAACCATTCGTAGGTACATCCGAACGTGCGGGGGCGCCGCCGTATGGACATTTGTTCTTCCAGACGGGGAGCAGCTCCAAGAATTCTACAGGTGGCGACGGATCCCAGTTGGTGAGCCAGAGACAAACACATAGACAGGGATTCATGCTGAGACAATAATATGTATATAGCGTGCATTGAGGATGTTTAAAATTGGAGAGACAGCCGTTCATGTCGGAGAGGCTCTGTGGTACACGCTTCTGCCTTGTTCTGATACCGTTGCCCTGACTCCATTCGTGAACTCTACGGGCATTGTCACAAATTCGCCCCATATAAGCGCCTATTATATTCTTAGCGCTCATCACTGCGCTAAACACGATCACGTGACCTACACGGTCACATGCATATCACGGGACCTAGATCATCATATAGATATGATGGGATCAGTAGATAAGATAACTACAAGTCCAGAACTCGTTCTAGACCAGTCACATGTCATGACATCATGAATGATGTCACCTGGTGGATAGCTTAGCCTAATGGAGATACTCCAACGGTCATTATTCCTCGTATTACTAAACATAATGGTAGTGTATTAGTAACGAGTCACGAGTAGTCACATGAGCACTTAGTAATGTAGAGTACCATAGGTCCTACGTAGTGTCAGGGGTCTTAGATTACTTGTATATAAGGAGCGTCGTCTGAGGCTTAAGACCTCAGACTCAACAACTTCGTTGATTCTTAGTATCTGCATCTCTCTCTACTTACACCCCTCAACTTCAAGTCCTACCCTTCAAGTCTATCAGTAAGGTGAGTATAGGAGTTGTGATAGGCATCCACGCCAGAAGTTCGGTCAAGTCGAGTTGTTCGAGCACCCTGCACGAAGCGCGCTTCGAAGCGTGGGGAAGGATCAAGGTGTTAGAGTCGGGAGTTTCTCTCGACCGTCTCTTCACATCTAATGGACAAGGCAAAGCATTTTCGCTTTTGCCGAGGCCACGCTCCTCTGTCCCCTTCCAACGGGCTCACTTCGGTCCTGGCGCCATACCAAACTCCCTCGCAGACACGCCCTGCGCTGCTATGAACATCACACGACTGCTGAAGCTACTCAACGACACCCTCGGAACCAGATACCCGCTGGGCAAGCCAGAGCTAGAGCAGTGCCTCGATCACGTCCTCCGCACCTCGCAAGACTTTGGCCAAGCGTACGGCATCCTACGGCGCCACTGGCGATCCGACTTTACTCGGCTGCTCTCCGACCTTGCTGGAGATCAAAAGAAGGACAGATTGGCCCGGCAAAATGCATTGGTTGATGGCTATATTTGCAACTCGGAGGTGCCCCCACGGCGCGTGTGGGACCTCTACAGCAACCGCGTCCTGCCGCTTTATGCTATCAATCGAGGCCGCGATTTGCATGAGATCCCCGACGAAGTCTGGACTGTATCGCACAGCTGGGTCCACGAAAGCGCCCACATCGATGTCTCGACCTCAATCAACGGCAATCAGTGGCCCGTCCCTATCCCGAACGACACCACCCTTGACCACGTTCGAGTCGAGCTCCTTAATCTCGGCGCAGAGTATGCCTGGTTGGACGTTCTGTGCCTGAGGCAACGGGGACGTCCGGAGGACGAGGAGCAGAGGAAGGAGGAGTGGAAGCTCGACGTCCCCACCATCGGTCATGTATACTCGTCATCGGGTAGGCCGTGCGTGACATATTTCAATGGCCTGGGCCTCCCTTTCAACCCGTCTTCACAAATACTGTCTTCCACTCGCCACTGGTTGAACCGTGTCTGGACGGTGCAAGAGGCCACCGACAGCTGGTTGCCCGGTGGTGCTACCGGAGCGGCGTGTGCAAACACGCTGCATTTCTTCCAACATCACCTGCCGCGATCCATCCTGAAGAAGGGTGAGCGGTACTTCGACCACCTGACCTTTGCGGTTTAGGCGATGCAGGGGCGCCACGGCACCACAGAACTCGACAGGGTCCACAGCCTCGCATACATCCTGAGATGCAAGACATTGCCGATTTACGACGAAGGAATATCGCCAGAGCTCACTTGGATCACGCTTCTCAAGCATATGACCACAGATTCACGAGCCAAAGTCGCCTTGCGCCACGCAAAGTGTCGTCCGGATGACACTTCATTATTTCCCTCGTGGGCGGACTTCATGCAATGCGAGCAGGAAGATTCTGATCCTGCCTCGGATGATCTCTATTCCTCATCTGGCCTGTACCTTCTGGACGACTTGCCCCTTCGCATGCCTGAGCCAGGGACCTATTTTCACAAGGCCGTTCATTCGTACGGCCCTGTTAGTATCGATTGCGAGCATAAGGAAAACGAATCCGGCCGTGAGACGTTCAAGCTCCAAACCGCAGGCGCAAGCGGGAATCTCTCGTGCTACGAGATCCAAGATTGCAAGGTCAGTGGTACATTTTTACGAAGCATGAAGTACGTCATCTTGGAACTCTCCTTGAAGACCTGGCTTATCGTGGAGGTGATTGGGGAGCGGCAGATTAAGGAAAACACAGCACTGGAGGTGGTTAAGTGAGGATGTATTTCATCGAAGGAACTCCCACGGCCCAAATGGTATAACCAGCATATCGTGTACGTTTCAGAGGAAGCCCGGCGAGAGGAATAGGTCTGTCGCAGATTCCATAGACACCTCAGACGATACTTGTACAATAGCTCCTCATCTGTCGTGACCAGTTTAGTATGTAGTCGTCGTGGAAATTTTGACATGACATTTCATACGTCGGTGGCTAGTAAGGCTCTTGTCAACTTGTTAATTGGGATCACAACGATCATCACGAAGCTAGATGTCGTCGTTGCAAGAGATGAACCGCCCTTCGTCCATGTAGCCGACCCAGACAGAGACCAATGTTGAGATGATGAAAGCGACGCACCAGCGGCGGGCTGCACAGATCTACCCACATGCTTCACCAGCAGAGTTCGGCTGATGACTTGCGGTGTTGCCGTACTACACATCGTTGTACGCGAAGACTCCCGCAAAGGAGAAATAGCGTCGAAGCAGTCGTCGAGTACTGTCGACGTATAAGGTGCCCATATGTGACTTAGTCGATGGAAGAGACGTCGTACGGGCACAAAATGTCTTTGTTAGATCGAGTTGCAGGTAGTAAGCGTGCGGAAGTCATCGTGCGTGGACAACACGCCTCTATTAAAGGCGGACCTGCTATATTTTCTGGCTAACATGCCACTGAACGCGCCGTTGGACTCAGAGCTGGGATTCTGGGGAAGTAAATATGATAATCAGTTCCCTGATCCCCCCGCAATGCTCGTACTGCACATTGCAACGACGTACGCATTTAGAAAGATAAAATACGACAATCACTATCAGAAATGTCAAGACAAAAGCGGCAGTACAGACCCACACGCCGCTTGAAGGTGCTGGGGCTGACGAAGACTGGGGACTGACATCAATGTCCGTCTGTGACGTCCGAGATGCACATCGGCTTATCATAACGTGACTATTCTGTGGAAAAAAAATACAAAGCAAGCTGGTCGTAGTGACAAATCACACTGAGTCCTTTACGCATTAATTAAGGCCGGCGTATATTCTGTCCTCTGATGTTGGTCCAAGCAAGCCGCATAGAATTGCGTGGGCGGCGCCGGTGTATAGGCAACAATTAGAATAGGAATCACGTTGAGAGATGGTGCTCGAATGAGAGACACCATGGATTTGATATACGAGCAGAGAAGGACATAACGAAGCGACTGACCGGCGCGCCGAAGTATCCCAAGAAGCGCATGAAAAATAACCTACCTTTCACGAAATGTACCAATAGTTCCCTCAGTCGCGACTCGCAGGGATCACTTGAAACTCCGCGGGACCCAGCCTCCCCGACGTGCCCAGAGATATAAAGCGCATCAGCAACCAGGAACTGGGCGCTCGTCTTCTTACAGGGCCACCCTGTGCTGCAGTTCTTGATGGACCATGTTTTCCTCAAATCTTCAAGGCCTGATCAGTTCTCATTATACCGCTATGAAATAGGAGAGCTGCATCGAATAACATGCCTACGTGTGTATGCAAGTGGTGTCCGCCTGGTCGCGTCTGATTCGAGGTCTAAGCCCTCTATCAGCATTTCCAGTAAGATCTCAGGTGTATTGACAATCGGCACTAAGAGCATAGGGAATTCAATCTTAGCCTGAGGAAGCTGGACATCAGCAAATAGTGGTGTCGGCGTCGCAAGATGTGCGTGCGTACGTGTGCTGTCCGGCCATAATCTTATTTATCACAGCCTCCTTCAGTCGACATTGCCTGAAACTTGAAGCCCAGTGAGAACCTCGTCTGTCTGGTGCTATCTGAGTCGACCTGAGTCGACCTGTAGTTGGTCGGTAGCGTGAGATCGACCTGGATGGTGGAGTGTTGTAGTAAGGGACCTAAGGTTACCTTGCTTGTCAAGGTATCTCGAACTACCGTATTTAATTTGAAATTCACTCCCGAACTCACCGGAGCTTGCCGAAGCCGCGTGATGCTGACTTCCCAAAATGGATTACTTTGTCACGGACTAGTCATGTCACCAATTTGCCTGCGCAAAGGACGTGCGAATTCAACTATCTGCCCATGCCTATTCCACTCTATATACTGACATGTAGCAGATTCACATTTTCCCTGCCCATCTTCTTCCACCATGCTCTTGTTTTCTCATCCAGCTCTGCCAGCCTGTCATCCTCCTCTAGAAGATGAGTGTCATGGGATGCCTTGAACATGTTATCATCAAAGTCTCGCAGCAGCCTTATTGTCGACCTCCCTGAGCTACGAGACAACACAACATACAGATTGAACAAGGTCAGTTTTCCTGCAGGCGGCTGCGCAATATCCACAATAACGTAGGGTATGGTCTGGCCCTGTGACCGGTAGTTGGTGAAGGCATAGGCGGCGGTAATGGGGTATTGCTCCCGGTGAACAGTGCGTGTGGCCGTTTTACGTCCTGAGCCAACTGGAACGGTAATCCTAAACATTTGCCTCTTGACTGTGATAGGTATGACTGAATCTTCAAGCCCTGCAAGTTGTGAGGCACGCGTCTGGTTCAGCTTCACGAGTATATATGCTGGAAGATGCTGCAGCTTCACTATCGGTGCGCTTGGGTCGATTGGTGGCTCGTCAGGATGCAAGATAATGTCAGTGATAACTCCCCGGGCACCATTGGTGATGTCCAAGTCTGTCTCCACATTCGAAGTCACCATGACTTTCATTCCAACAGCAATCTCCACCCTCGCAGGAAGCTCGTTCTTTTGGTTGCGCTTACGGCAGCCGTCCTCAGTGTATCTTCGACCTGCAACGGCATAATGTTCTCGTATAGTGAGCTTTCGCTTCTTGATAGAGTCTTCTGCCTCGCATATATATAATTGACTGCTTGTCCCTCGACAGTGTTTGCGGTTGGCTGAATCGTTCCACAACTGTCGCATAGCATGGCGTGGCATTACAAGAGAAGCATCGCTCCAAGGCAATGACTGAAAGTCAGTTTCCGGACAATGTGGGCTGGTGATAACGAGCTGATGTAACATCATCAGGTGCCACTTTTGAACCCGGCCATATCGGAGATGCTCCAAAAAGTCTCGCCATACAGGGTCTGTCACCTGCATCTGCTCTTGCAAGATGACCACATTGACGAACTCCTCATAGATACTCCGACCGATCTGGCTGTCGACCGAGTCTATCATGAGGTTGGTCGGGTAGAATAGGGCCTCTGATGGTGCGACCACAACGGGTGGGAATTGGTGGAAATCTCCGCACAGAATGACGCTAATGCCTCCAAAAGACCTATCACTGGATGGAACTCTGGACTTCTCCTTTCCGATACTGATCTGCCGCGACAAGAGCGTGAAGAAGCTCTTCGAGATCATTGACACTTTGTCAATAATGAGGTACGCGATGTGTTTCCAAAATGCTTGCAGCTTCTCTTTGGTCTCATCGCTCGTCTTCTGATCCCGAGTCTTCAAGGATATCATCCCAATCGTGTGTGTCGTCTTGCCATCGATGAGAGATGCAGCAACACCAGTATACGCAGCTTTTATAAGGGTGTGCTTTGCACCGTGGTGCTCAAACTCATCCGTAATGGTCTGGATAACCTTTGACTTGCCTGTTCTGCCCTCGCCATGAATAATCATTCACAGAGGTAGTGGTTCTTTACTGGACAACACCTGCTCTAGGTGCCAGGTGACAATGTCATATGCTCGGTACTGGTCAGGCTTGAGATCTGAAGGTTTCGCTCCAGGTAAGGCTGCCTCACATCCATCGTTGAAGGGTATGTGGCTGACCGCTGGCTCATCCTCTAGTGGCTCGTTCAGACGCTCGACGGTGGCCGCATGGTTGTGGGATGGATGGTCAGCTTCGAGATGGTGTGGCAGGTCGGGGATAAAATTTTGCGCATTCACATCAGAGTCCATCTGAGCTTTCCACTCTATGAGCCGGCGAAGATCATCGCCAGTCGCATTTGCAACCACTGGCCTGTCATGTCTGCCTTCGACCGACCATTTGGTATCATCCTGCTGGAAGATGCGCGCATGCTTTGCCTGCTCCACAGCATGTCGCCCGTGAAACTCTTCATGCCATGGTATCTGAGATGCGAGGAGCACCTCAAGACCAGCCTCGGTATACTGTACGGTGGCTGGTTCATTGTGATCCTCAGCAAGTGCAAGCACATCATCGTCATCAGGTAGGAGCTGACCTGTGCGGTGCTGGCAATTGGTGTTATTGTTTTCATCAGTGCGAGCCTGGCTTGCAGCTTGGGCACATTCGTGGAAGTATTGAATGCTCGATAAGATATCAAGGATCTTCTTTGGTGCGGTAGCCTTGAAACTGGCGAATGCGTCTTCCCAGCATTCTGTTGGACTTTTGAGATCAGTCGCAAGGTTCCGCCAGGGTTTTAGCAGCACAAGCATAGAAGCACAATAGAATGGATAGATATCAGAGTCATCGTTGCGAGGAAAGTACCTCCCGATGAAGTTCGGAAGAGTGTTGTGGCCCTTGGTGTGCACGACCCGCAACGTTGACTTATGTGCGGGGTGCTCAGGAAGATATGAAATGCGTTGGTTTGGTCGACGTCCTGGTTGGTGAAGCTTATTTGTTATGTCGTCATCTGTGGTGCTTGGCTTCTTTTCTACAGATCTCCATCGTTCATATGTGTTGACAAAGAAGTTGATGACATTGCTGCTAGCGAGCTCATGACCACGTAGACAGTAGTCAGTACATTGTCCTTGCGTGTAGACTCTCCCAGATTGGTCTGCTCCAAGTGTGACGACTTCCTATACATATTGTGTTAGATAATGTGCATGTACTCAGCGTCTGTTCGCGTACCTCATCATCTTTGGCACCGTCTGGAGGCAATGTTTTGGGGCTTGTGGAGGTGGACTGCTGTGCTGGTGGCGGCTCACTGCGGCAATGATTAGAGAGAGATTATATGTAGGCAAAGGTTGCAGGTGACTCACAGAGTGTCCACCATGGCCGTCGAAGTTGTTGCGAGAAGCTCCTTGAGCTCGGGAAATGCTTTATGCAAAGCAGACGCAAACGAAGACCAGTAAATTGGCACATAGTGGTGAGAGCAAAATGAATCACTCCATCCCATAAGATATGACATGACCATCGGAGCAGCAAGTTCTTGCTCTCGGTTGATATTGTTGACGATACGGAATAGAAGAAGGCGCTGATTGTCTCACAATCTATCGACATACGTGTTGTGGTCCAGATGGAACGCATATCCCTTCGACATGATGGCTGACATGTTATGCGACTTGTTCTGTTTCTTGGCAGCGTATCCTGTTATGTAGAACGAAATGTTTTTGGTATCCGCACTGTTGGTCAGAAGCTTGCCATCATTATTGCAGCATACGTTCACCGAGATTGCAGGAACATATCCATTAAGGTATGCATACGTTCACTTGGATCCCCAGGTTCCGCTCTCTGTGACGTAGTCGTCCTCTGAAACCTCGAACGGTGCCTTCCGCTTGCACTCGAGCTGGCCATGTCAGTCGATTCAGAGACATCAGTTCGCACAGCAGGTGTGCATCTGTTTTGCCCGCATCACACGCCGCTCAAACGAAACCAGCTCTGCAGCATAGTTCTCGCCATCAGGATCAGGCGGCTGTGAATAGGCAATCTCCTTCTCGTTCTCGGCCTTCTTGATGTCCTCTACCGTGTCCAATCTAGGTACGTAGGCACGCAGGTTAGTGCAAATGTACTCCTGTACCTTTGCACAGAAAGATTCCGTCTTGAGGAGCTTGTGCATTTCATCAGACGTAGGCGCGTCCTTCAGCCAGATCAACATATGCAGGTGCAGACTTCCACGTCCTTGGGATTCGACTACACCAAAGTATGCAGAGACATGGCCGAACACTCCCACACTGCTTTTGACCTGAGCAAAAGCAAGTTCGATGCTGAACAGCGTGCGCAAGATGGCGTTAATCATGAAATGGAAAAACTTTGCGGCCGCAAACGGATCTGCCACAATATTACGTGCAGGCTAGTCTTTATCTGGACCAGCAGTGGCAATAAAGCGGTCCAAGTCGATCTCTTCGCCAGCAAAGACAGACGCGATAGGATTGTGGAGATTGTCTGGGTTTATGGTGATCCATAAGGACGGTGGGTTCATGTAGATGGAGGTTGCCCAAATCTTGCTCCGCATTTGATACCGGGTAGAGTCTGAGTCCTGTACACGACCAGCAGTTGCATGGACGTGTTGCCGAAGAAGGCGCACAGATGGGTCAGAGATAGGTAGGCCCTTCTCTTCTTCTCGTCGAGCTGCTTCCAATTTGTTGACCGTGATAGAGGCAAGTATACGAGCATCTACCTCAAAGTTCCATCTATGCATCTGGACACGAGCAGAACCTAAAGCCTGACAACATTGCTGGATGCTGAAGAACACAAAGGGAAAGGTCTCGTGTTGCTGAAAATGCCAGTCGTGATAGGCCAGGGACCAGCGTACGTGCTCAAGAAAGTCTATCAGATTTGGCTGATATCCTTCTATTCCACCACAGCCGTATGGATACAGGCATGGGAATGCGCGTTCAAAGAAGTTCAGCTCATTAGGGCTGACCTTGCCTGTGGGAATACACTCCGGCTCTGACTGCTCAGCTTCGTCGCAAGCAGAACCAGGACGCTTGCGAGACCGGCCAAAGGTACTGACTGGTTGCCGTTCGTGTCGCACAGCGTATGCGCCCTCCTTCCCCTCCTTCCACAGATTTGCCAAGCCCCACAACATGAGTTCGTTGGAGCTGAGCTTTGACATGTCTGTGTCTTTGGTACCTGAGATTTGCAGCGGAATTACATCTGGCTGAGACTCGCTATCAATGGGGCCATTAGAAGTGACTGGTGGTTCTGCAGAGGAAGTGGCATTAGAGAAGGCTAGATATGGACGTCATTCTGCTTACCAAGCTCCTCATGTCCGCCGTCATCCTGAGATACATATCCCTCGCTCTCTTGATTAATTACGCCTGTCTCCTCTGACTGCCATACCACCCCCATAACCTCAACAGGTACATCGTCCTCAGGCAGCTCTGCCAACCGCTCGTCGCAGATCTTGATATCTCCATAGTATCTTGAGTTGTTTGCTTTCAGCCATTGAAGTGCATTGAGCACCACCACCTGACGACGAACACGAAACATGGACCGCAGCCACGACTTCGGTAAATCTCCTAGACCGATGAATGTAACCGAGATAATGGATGCAAGGATAGACGGCTTGCGAGGGAGCAGGTCACCTTCAAGCATGTCCACCATGCCTGCCTGATTGAGTTCATATGTGCTGACCGTACCACGCATTCCCCGTTGCAGAGTTTCGGTGTTCATATCTGCTGAGTACCGCTTTGGGAAGAGCTTGAAGACGTAGACTCGAGAATAAAGCAATGCTATAAGCAATTTCTCAGGAAAAGTGAGAACCTGCAACGCCCAGGGAATCGGACCGATCCAGAGGTTATTTGCAAGTGCGAATCGAGGTGGTGCGTCTTTTGACTTCTTGAGATCCGCAAGGCATTCATTGCAAATGTTTGCAACAGGAGCGGAGCTTTCTGACTCAGTAATCCCAGCCTTTTCTAGCAACTTGCCAGCAATCAGGTTGTGAGCAAAATGTGGTGTCTGTGGCTTTAGACGGTGAGCATTTGGGATCTCATCGATAGGAATAGGAGTAGTTCCCTGAGGACCGAAGAACTGACAGCCACAAACTCCGCAAATGGTGCTGGCAAGAGCAGCATTTGACGTGGCTGCATAGACCGCTCTGTAGCAGCTGTCACGTTCTGCTTGCGTTGGTAGCTGCAGAAAACAGGAAGGTCTTTGCTCGGCACTAGCTTTGTCTTCACCAGCAGAAGTGCCAGGTCGGTTGGTCTCGGTTTCCTCCACTCATGCAGCAACCCTCCGGTGGGCCTGCTCTTTCTCCTCTTGCTCTCGCTTCCTCTTGCCTTGAAGACTGATACGGCTTGCTTGCTTGTTTTGTGCAAGCTTTCGAAGGAACTCGATGTCTGTAGGTGTTGCATCTCGAAGGACACGCGCAATGAGCAAATCTTTTTTGGTGCGCTTGTCTCGTGAGAATTTCAGCACTCCTTTGAATCTGACAAGGATCTCTTTCATTGTTAGGTCGAAAATGGTGTCCCGGGTTGTATCTGAGGTTGGAGACATGGTGCAAAGAGGTTCAGTTGCGAAACCGGAAGCGCGCCAAGCTCCGTACTCTTCTCAACCTCTGGCACGCTAGAGCATACGGCTCTCCCGTCAACGTGCAAAATAGCCAAATATTTGTCCTGGTCTGTGCGCATGTTCTCTGGCATATAAAATACTCACAAGCCCCTCGCTAATTTCCAGGACATCTCCTACAAATCTCCCACTCCCGTTCTCCACTTTGCCATGGCTCCTGCGATCAGCACTTCAGTTCCTGACAACCAAGCTACTCTTCCAACCCTTCCTGCTCGTCTAAACCAAGCTCGTAAATACTTGCTCAGCAAAGGTCTCTACCTAGGTGACACAAGCACTTCGAACAATGTCGAGTGGATCCGGGATGGCAAATCCCACAGGCTCATTCATCACCACCTGTTGCATCCGTTCTCTGGTATATCATCTCATCAGTTTGCCCAATATTTCCGCACTAACCATGGCTCCCGTTGTAGCTTCTGAAGGCAATGCTAAGACTAAGGATTCCGCTCAGACCAAGAACGCTGCTCAGACCAAGGACACCACTAAGACCAAGGACGCCGCTGACACCGATGACACTGGGTTGCTCTCTGCCGACACTCTCGACATTCCCGAAGAGGCCATTCTCAGTATGGTCGGAACTGTTAGCAACAACGACTACTATCTCACGGCTGACACTGGCTTTCGTGGGAACTCAGAATTTCAGACAACGTTCGCCAAAGTCAAAGCCAGCGGCACAGTGGAGGTGCCGATCGAACATCTGTTTGCTGTGGATTTCCCCATAGTCCTCAAGAACATTGCCTCTATTTGTGGTGCCATGGTCACTCCTGGCTTCAAGAACAAGAAGGGCATCTGCGTTGGACTGGGAGGCAGTAGGGTCAAGATACGCCATGCATTGTTCGAGGTGAGCCTTCTGCTTTTTGTGTCTTTATCCTAAGGCATATGCTAAATCTCTATCAGCCCAAGGCTGCTACAGATGGTGATGTGGACTTGCGTCGACACACCACGAGGGATACTGCGTGGATCTTAATCAGAAGGCGGCGCCGACGAGGTCTGGCGACTAGTGCGTTAGCTTATTCAGCTAGCCCAATAAACCAAGTATATTAGTTACTATTCTAACGTATGAACAAAGGCTTACCTAGCCCAATAAACCAAGAGGTTGAGATGGGGCTAGGTAGCGATGAACGGAGCCTTTATATACTAGTCAGGCTGCGCACGGACCAGGCATTACATAAGCGACTGGTGCTACGGCAACTGCTAGTGTCTAGGAGACTTTAGGCGAGGAAATGAGGGCCGGCGTGTCATGTCTGATGACGTTGTCGGGCCGACGGGAATCGGATGTCCGATGGAGATCGGAGTGCGGCTGTTACCGAGGAAGCGTGATGCGACGACGAGGCGGCGGCGATGCAGGCGCGTCTGATGTGCTGATGCGTGCCCGTCGGTGATGCTTTTCGAGGTGTTAGCGCGCGGCTAGGACTTGTAAACTGGCGCCTATGCGCTGACGACGTTTGGAGGGTCGTATAAACGTGGAATAAATCGGAGAAAATGGGAATAAAAATAGGAGGCCGGGGCTACGCCCACGACAGACGGCGCGGAGGAAGCCGACGCCGCAGAGGATGATCAAGCCGGGCTTGATGACATTGATGCTCAGAAGAAGAACACAGGTAAGACCTCCAATGTCATTAGATTTCTAAGCGACGTCTTAATTAATTTTATATAGCAAAGATTCTCACTCTCGAGAACTGGCCCGTCAAATCCAAGGCGGCTGCAGAGCAGTTGGAGGAGATGAAGGGTTGTTACCATGCCGTCCTCATTCCGGCATACGACATGCACGGTGAGCTCATCCACTCATCCTTCTATCGGCATCGCCTTGAAGGGGCTCTTGTAGCAGTGCGCTTCACACTGACCCACTGGGCGATCAAGAATGGCAACTCGGACGGTACTGACATCTACACTGCGGATATCGTGAACATTCGTGTTCTTGCTCCACCGAAGCCCACGCTTGTCACTCCGCGAAAGCATGGCCGTGTCCCGGCGTTTGATTCCATGTCGCCGCTGCCTCTCGAGAAGAAGCGTTGTCTTTTCGAGTAAGTACTCGACAAACTACTGCTACTGGTAAGCTCCTCAATCATTCATTGAAGCTTCATTATTACTGAACACTGTCTCCAGACTACTTAGGCGTTTTCATAAGAATTAATTTACTTCTCTTGTTGTGCGTAGATTTGTCGTAGAATAATCCTGTCGTAATTGCTCTGTTTGTGGGCAGGGAAAAATTTGCCTTATGTGTCACATTTAATCATAATATACATTGTGTTCGTGAAATTGACTGAAATCCATCACATGAGGAACTTTTCCAAAGGCCGCCGAACAAAGCCTAGTCTTTCCAGACAAGCAAAGTTGGCTGCCGCCGAAGAAGGCGCTTCACGAGTCTATCCAATCCATCAGAATATGTCCGCACAAACATGGGTTGACCGCGGGTAGATCTGGACAGTACCGGGCAGGTTTGAGCAATTCCATGAGCTGCACCCTCAATTCTTTGTACTTAATTCGAGTAAAATTGATATTATATTTTGTGCTACTCATATATGCTCGGTACAATCCAGATCTATCGTACTCTACACCCACCGATCCTCCCGTGCTCTGGGGTCCGTCCTCGGCCTACCGTGGATCATCATGCGGTCAGCCGAGCGTCAGAAGCAAGGCGTCCATGACCTCCCCGCCGTCCATCGCGCGATACCAGCATCCAGCATGTCCTGAGCGCATATACGTGATGAACAGAAACAGACATTTCTGTTGGTTGCTGTTGTGAGCATAACGCAGCTGTGAAAAGAGCAAGTGTAGATGCACCTTGAGTCCACCCCCAACATTTGTGGCAGTGTATCAACTGGCTCGACTGCCCCTGCAATGTCGAGTACAACACAGCGCCGAGAGGCATAAGTTGATGTTGAAAAGGCTTTTGGTGTTGGTATATGTGCATATACTCACCTGCTTGCCAGATTGGATAGCGGGACAGGGACTACAGGGATGCGGGGCACAACGGGTGGCATGGTGGGGGCAGCGGAAAGAAAGCAGCGCGGCACTGTTGCCAGAGGTGTGCCCTTATATAAGTGGGATAGGGCACCTCGGCTTTGATTTGATGGCATCGGTCAGCGGCGTCGGGACATTGGAGTCATTAGTTCAAAGTCCTTGCATTCAGACTCGGATTTGGATTTGGAAAAGAGCCGGTGGCATTTGGACACGTTGGAGAGGCATAATGGACGCGTCAAAGACCATGGTGCGCCACCAACTCAACGGAGACGCAGCCGATGGGCGTGGTGTCATGAATATTATGCATCCAGATGGTTCTCCCGGATTCCATAGTATTCTTTCGCTTTCTGTACACCTCCGTATATTCATAGGATACTCTAGATATTCAGTCTGACATGTATATAAGGAGCTCGTACTGCTCAATAACAAGCCAGACTCGAGCTGGTGTTTCTTCACTCACATTTCTCTCACCTGTCTCCTCAGCTTTGTCGTAGCTCAGTCCAGTTGGATTGTTAGTTGCTGACATTTCCAACTGCCCTACGACGATCCTCGTCACTCTCACACCAACCATCACCTATCTCCACACAACAATCCATCTCATTTATCCAACCGAAATCTCATTCCAATCCTAACCCTATCGACTCTACCGCATCAAGACCTCTGGAACCCTTCTCCGTGCACTTGCGCGTTTTTACCACATCACACACTTCGAAGCCGCCTCTGTAATCACCAGCCCTTAGGCAGCTGGACAGAGCTCCGTCCAATTAGAATTGTACACTGCCCTACCATAGGTGGTGTTAAACGCTTTGCGCAGTGCAAGCGGGTATTCCTGAGTACGACGTGGCAACCGGCTGAGGCTGGGCGTCGGAAAAGAGATAGTAGTTAGATCGACGATCCCTGTCAGGGCGTCGGACCAAAGAGATATAATCGCTCTTTGGGCTGCTATACTATTCCTAGAACTGTATTAAGATAGCGTTTCGGCTCTTTTTTGGAAATTCCTATCTTTGGTGAACTCTACCCCTGATCTGGTTGTTACAACACGATTAGTCCCAGGGTTTGCTGCAACTAGCTTCACGGACCCAACAACTCATGACCACGCCTTCTTGTGATTGTAGAGGACATACACATCGAGAAATAGAAGGGAGATTTATCTACATACGTGGTGATAATGTACGGTACTGTGTGCAACAACCGTGCCCACACTCCCCAGACAATAGCAGTCGCTGTCCTCAGTGCAGGGAAGGATTACGTGGAGAACTTCTACAAAGAGTTCCTACCGGAGGACCTTCAGAATCCCTCGCAGTCCCGCAACCCGTAGCATCTGGTTCAGAACCCAGAACTAGACGAGACACTCTCGAATCGGTCACTGACCACCTACGCTCAATCGCCCTTGGAGAATCAGAAGCATCACCTGAGGGTCCACTAAACCCTGTGGAAGAAGCTGTAGAAGATTCTGAAGCTTCGAACCCGCTTTCTCGATGCTCTCCCACTCCACCCTCATCTCCATCTGATCCCGGCGCAATGGCCGAGAACCAAGACAACGCCGCTTTCATCAATGGAAGCGCAATGAAACCCGATGCCTTCGATGGCACGAAGTCCAAGTACATTGCTTGGAAGACCCAAATGAAGCTTTACATGGTCACGCAAAGGAAGCGAATTCCGGAGCAATTTGATAGGGTCCTCATGATTCTGTCATACATGAAAGGAGGACACGCTGGCGAATACATAGCCACGTATATGAAGAAGTACGATACGGACGAAGATACTGTGATTCAGACTACCAAAGATCTATGGAAAGATCTAGATGTACATTTCCTCATCGATGAACAAGCAGAAGCATACGATAGGCTGCAAGCAATGCAGATGGGAGCGCTATCAGCGCAGGAGTTCTTCTTGAAGTTTGAATTATGCGCCTTTCAGGCGAACATCCATGACTTCGAGGCACATTTCCAGGAGTTGAAATTGCTTCTAGAAAAAGCACTGCGGGCCGATATCATTCGGCTTCTATACAATTCCTCGGAAGAACTCCCGTCCACCTACGCACTTTACAAAAAACGGGTCGCGCGCATCGACCTAAACCAGCAACAGTACCGTAGACGGAATACGCAACCTCAGTGACAGGGGCAATATCAGCCGAAACAGCAGCAGGCGCAGAACACACCGCAAGCACAAACTAATGCACCCACGCCAGCAGCTTCCACTATGCCAGTACAGACACGGCGCGACAGGACCAGGATTACATTCAGAGGCAGGGGACAACCGATGGATTTAGATCAGGCGCGATGCCAGGGTCTCTGTTTCCGATGTGGTCAACAGAGCCACATATCACGAAATTGCCCTAATTGGCAACAAGCTCAACAAGTACGAGCCGCAGAAACCCCAGTAGTTCCCACCGCTAATACATTCACGCCACTCGCATTACTTAACGAAGCTCCTGCCGCGATGGCAGAACTATTCGACTGAAAGACAGCAATTCGCGAAGAAATTCGCGCGGCCATGAAGGGTTTTGCAAACGGTCAGCCAGGCGCGTAGCCGAGTTGACCGAACGTAACTTTACGAACTATCTGTGTTCTTGGTTTGGAGTAGCAATGTATATACCAGAAAAAGGGGCGTCTGCAGAGCAGCGTGGAGAGGCTCAACCCTCTTGCTTAATTCCCCCGAATAAAAAATTACCTCCTACCTTGAATGAGACTGAACCTACGCAGTGGCAGCGCCACACCCCATGGACAGCGGCATGGATCCGCCAATGGATAGTCAGCAAAGACAAAGCAGGGCTTAGATTGTTGACGGAATGGGTACACTCAAAGAAGAGTGTTGACGCCTCCGAAGCCTGTATGAACCAAATCAGGCAAATGAAAGAAGAAGAAGCAGTCGACTTCTTGAATGAATTATGAAGGCAGCCTCGATTTATCCGAGGAAGGAAGGGGACACAGATGGACGTCCCAATGATCATCACTACTCTGGACACGCAGCAGCGTTTATCAGTCAAAGCGTTGTTAGACACAGGATGTACTGGATCTTCTATTGATGCGCAGTTTGTCCACGATAACAACATTGCTACAAAGAAACTGCCATCACCGATCCCTGTCTATAACGCAGACGGAACGCATAATGCTGGAGGTGCTATTACCGACTTTGTCGAGTTGAGAGTGGAAATTCAGGACCACATTGAACGACTTCCGTTCACCATTACAAGTCTAGGGAAGACTCCAATCTTCCTTGTATATGAGTGGTTACAGATTCACAATCCATTTATCAATTGGCAGGAACAAGTCATTCAATTTGATCGGTGCCTGATTACCTGCAAATATGCCGCCCGATTAATTGATATTGATGCTGATCAAGAAGAGCCCAGCGATCCGGAGGCTCGCCTAGAAGAAGGGGATAGAATCTTTATTCTTAATCACAAAACCTACTTTGCTACGGGAACAGTGCACATTCGCACCACGGCCACTGATCTAGCCATTAAAGAGAGTCTGAAACACGAGACTAAGACATTCGAAAACACTGTCCCAAATCACTATCACAATTACTCCGATATGTTCAGCAAAGAAGACTTTGATTCTCTACCACAAAGAAGACCATGGGACCATGCAATCGAACTCACGCCAGGCGCGCAACCAATCAGCTGCAAGGTCTACCCAATCTCGATGAACGAACAACAAGAACTTGACGAGTTCATAGAAGAGAACCTCAGAACCGGAAGAATCCGACCTTTGAAGTTCCCGTGGGCTTCTCCCTTCTTCTTTGTCAAAAAGAAAGACGGACGTCTTTGACCCGTGCAAGATTATCGGAAGCTGAACGAGCTGACGATTAAGAATCGCTACCCACTTCCTTTGATACAAGAACTAGTAGACAAGCTGAAGCAGGCACAGTACTTTACGAAATTAGACGTCCGATGGGGATACAACAATATTCGCATCAAAGAAGGCGATGAAGAAAAAGCCACCTTTCTCACCAATCGAGGACTGTTCGAACCACTAGTCATGTTTTTCGGTCTCACAAACTCTCCAGCTACGTTCCAAACCATGATGAATGATATATTCTGAGACCTCATTAGTCAA